TTTCCAATTGCTCTGGGCTTTCTTGGAGCCACGCCTAACTGATTTGTAAAGTTCCAGGTGTTAAGCCCTGCTGATTTTAAGAAATCTTAAAATTTGGCCTCTCTGGTTTTCAAAGCCAGAAGTTATGGGGGATTCATCTTCCCCATGCAGGTTCCCTGTGCCTAGGCTGCTTGGTGTGAGGGTCTGTGTTTTTCCCATCTGTGCCAGTGGCATCCCTCCCTTCCATCGACAATCCCTCTGTCTAGCTCCCAACTGTGTCTCTGTCTTTCCTACCCTCTTTCATGTGGTCTTTTCTCTATAGTTAGCTGTGGAGAGTCTGTACTTCCAGTCTTTGGCTCATTTTCTGAGTTATTTACAGTGATGTGAGGGTTACCTTGTTTTATCTGGGGGAAGAAGTGAGCTGAGGATCCTACTACCATACCATCTTCCTTGGGAGTTCACTCTGATGGTGTTTCTGAAACGTTATGGTGGATCAGAATCACCTAAAGGTTTGTTAAAACAAATTTCTGGGCCAAGAATTTGTATTTTTAACAATTTGCGATGTGAAGGATGCTGCAGAGCCAGGGACTACACTTTGACAACCACTGCTATAATCCCTGCAGTCCCAATTCAGAGTAAAACTAAAGCTGCATTAGAGATGGGGTTTGAAAGAACAGAAGTTGGCATCTGATGAAAACTAATGAGCAGAGAGGGCAAGCAAACTGTTGGTGGTTGTAAGCCTTGGTGATGAGTATGAAAGTAAGGATATAATTAAAAGTGTTGTGCTTACTGTATGCTAGACAGTGTTCTAGCTCTTTCTCTGCCCTTTATCACATTTAATTTGCACAAAAACTCCTTAGGTTGGAACCATCAATTCTCTACTCTAATAAAGAAAGCAGTCAAAGTTCAAGCTCCCTGGATTTAGGTGGCTGAGTTTGGATTTGATCCTAGGTTTGTCTCTCTCTTTACCCCCAATTTCTGAACATTTGGCCTCTATCCTCTCCCAATAACCTAAATGCTATTGAGACCTACCATGATACACATTAACAAGTCAGGGAAAAAAAAAAAAAAAAGATGACCCATCCCTTCCAAAGTTGAAGAATGCACAGCCTTTCTTTAACCAGCTTTTTATAAAAGAGGTTCAAACACCATAAGATATCATTATTAGGCTTTCATCCCCTCTAAATTAACAGAATGGGGTGAGTGTGGGGAGATCCAGTTGGGGGTGATGAATATAAAATTTACATCTGTGAATGAGCCATTGTAAAGGAATTTTTATTTTTAGGAACCTCCAGTTCCTAACTGTAAAAGAAAATAAAATCTAAATGAGAGGCTAATAGTGTAGTTTGCTCCTGCAGACCCACTGAGATAAGCTTGGAATAATGAAGTCTGCTCCACACACCCGCTGTTGTAATTTGACAGTTAATGCTTAATAATAGGTTCAAGAAGGAAGATGTGAAGTAAAACCAGGGATGACGAGCAGGGAATGAAAAAGCGTTGACTTTGCAGTCAAACAAACATGATTCCAATATAGGTTCCATTAATAACTATCTACTTGAACATAAACAATTTCCTTGACCAATCAAATGTATTTACTTATTAAAAGGAAGCTAATACTGAGGAGGGAGCTAAAACTCACTTAGCTGATACAGGAAAAAAAAATATTCTTTAATAAATTATATCAACATAAATTTATTATTTTATTATATAATTTTATTATAATGGAGAATGATTCATAGTTATACAGTATAAATATATTCTCTGTGTCTGTTTTTAACAATGGTAATAATGATAGAAGCCTCATTTGTTCTTTGAGTTGCACTGTTTTGAGCATGTTGTTTAAGAGACACTGATTTTTTTAGAACCTTTTCTCTCAGCTTTATTTACTTGTTTAGCAAAAACAAAAGGAACAGCTCTAATGCACTGTAAAAAAAAAAAAATGTGTTTTGGGGAAAAAATGTTCTGAGCTTTTTTGCGTTTTTTTTTTTTTTTTTTTGCTGGCTTTTAAATAAGGCTTGTCATTAGATTGCATGTTAGGCACAGTATCCAAATCTCTTTGCCGGTTCATATTTGAGTATCTCTGGAAATAAAAATACCCATACTGAGCCAGCATTTGATTTCCTGCTGAACTGTTTTTCACAATTCCAATATAATTATGTAGCAGTTACAAAGAAACAAAAACTGAACTCCAAAGAATACCATAGAAACCCACACTTGTTTATTTAAGAAAAGATATAAAAAGCATCTAAGACAGAAACTGACGTGTTGGGTGACTTCTCAGGGAAACGGATACCTAAAATAAATCTGAACATATCTGGATATTTATCAGAAGTATTGGTTAGACGTGGGTTTTAAAAGGCAGTTAGATACTCCAGAGATGACTTCTGGCATATAAATAGGAGACCTTCGTGAAAATGGGACGTGCTGAATTAGATATTTGTCTTTTTCTTTTGACGGGGTTTTTTTTTTTTGGTCCCTCATAGTGTCCATCTTAAAGAGGTTTGAAGTCTAAAAAAATAATGACTAAGTGTACCAAATAGTTGTTGACTGAACACATAAAACATTAGTGAGTCAAACACATTTCAGCATAACACTGCTAGGCTCTGTGGTCACAGGTTGTTGAAGCCCTAGTTCCCATCCAAGAGTTGGGGCTCCTCTAGTTGGGAGACAACTCCTGGATTACAGTCAAGTCATCTAATGGAAGGAAACAAAGTATCCAAACAACACATATGAGGAAGAAATGAGTTCTATATACTTTCCCCAGTGCCCTTCCCAATCAAGCTCAATGCTACTTTGGGACAAGTGAAGAAGAAAACCAAGAATATTACAGGCAAAGGAGTTGGCATGAATCCACCCAGGATGTTTTGGGACTGTGGGGATACAAAGGAGGGATTGTTGATCTTGGGCCTGTTTAAGTTGTGGTTATGGTGGCCTCCATTGTAGGCACATCTTATTTCCACCTCATCTTTCTCTTGTACTGTAGAAATGCATAGAGGGCCAACAGGAAAATACAAATGAATGCCCAAGGTATATTTTTATGGACATCATAAGAATTAAGATTTAGGATAGTTGCATGGATGCAAAGAAAGCATTGGTCAGTGTACCAACTCTCTTAGGATCTCTGTTGATTCCATGTCTAGATCTGCAAGATTGAATGATATGTGACTGTGACAAGGAGATAAACTAGCGTTTGAGATACTACAGAATCCCAAGGAGAATGCTACTCATTGTGTGCAAAGCCTTGTTTCATTTACTCTTCATAACGTTGAGATGGATGTCTCCTGAGCATTGTTTCAGAAACGGATGAAGGGAGATCTAGGGAAGTCAGGAATGTATATAAGGTCATCCACCAGGTTTTATGTCAAAGGCTGAACTCTCATGCTACTAAAGAAGTGTGGCCTATGGGCAGACATCCTTTGAAAAATACTAATCTTTGCACAAATTTTCGAACACGTCAATGATGGCAGGCCTTGTACTAGTTGTAATACATAGAGGAACAAAAAGGGGAATTGAACTGCTTACAGTATATGTGGAATAAAAAGCATAAAAATAAATAAAAGTCCTATGGTAGTACATTTATTTTATTCAGTGTAGTTTTAGCATGAACTCTGGCTCCCCGTCATCTTTACTTGGGCTGTCTTTTTAATGTACACATACTAGAATTACCTGCAGTAGGAACAACTACTTTTAAGAGGCATGATAAAACCATTTGGGGAATACAGGTTCAATTATTGGGCCCAGTGTGACTGTAACTCTGAATTTCAGAGTTCTCTGTAGTATGTGAGTGAAATCAGACCGTCATTAAGTTCTCTTTCATCTCTGGCTGATGTATCTTTGGTGGCTGCAGTAGAGCATGATAATGAAGAGTACAGGTTTGGGGACAGAAAGATATGAGAAAGTAAACTAATTACAAAACTTCTAAGTCATGTGCTGTTTGGCAAAGTACTCCTCTTTTCTGAGCCTCAATTTCACCATTTGTATGTGGATACTAATGTGTTTCTATATTCTTGTACAGTGCACCTAGCATAGTGCCTAGTCTTAAATAATAGAATGGTTGAAATACGCGGGGAAAGGTTAGGGCAGCAAGAATCTTTTAACCTTTAAGACAGCATAGTCAAAGTTAAGTCCAGAGAGACTTAGTCTTTGGGACCTTCTTAAGGGATCCACAAGGTCAAAATGTGTTTATGATAGTAAGACACTATTTGCCTGAGTGGAGAGTGGAGTTTTCTAGTGGCTGTGTGACCTATATTGATACCACTGTTCAGTGGCTAATGAAACGTGTTTGTGTATCGATGGGTCTTAAAGAAACAAATAGCTGTAACTAGAGAGAACCCAATAACAGACATGTTTTCAAGTGAAAGCTTTTTTGGTTTCTTCAGTAATGTTTTAGTACACAAAGAGGCCCTGAGACCAAATTGTTTGAGAACTATCACTTTAGGAAGGCATTTATTTTCTCAACTGGTATGAGATGTAGTAACAATAAAGACTGTTACTATCTATCTGTTGGATATCATGTTGATAAACTTAGCACCTGCAAAAAGTAGATTGGATATTGAAAGAAGTAATACATTTAGTAGAATTCTTGGTATGGAGTATATAGTAAGAACTCAATAAATGCTAGTCATTGTTAAGAGGAGAATGAAAATCAAGACAGTCCTGATGGAAATAGGTTAACATTATAACGTACCTTTCTAGGTTCTCATCAAATAAGGATGCCTTCTCAAAAGGCAAAATTGTTTCAGGCCAGATTGAAACTTCTCCTAAATCTCTGGTGTTACTGCTTTAGAGAACTCTTTGAGCAGGCGTAGAGGATTTATTCTGGATATGGAGTCTCCCCTTTCTCTTATTGTGTGGAATCAGCCTGCAGTTTCTCCAGGAAATACAACAAATTTTTTTTAAATTTACACAGGTCCGTTGTTGAAATACTGGGTCAAGAGAGATGTGAATTTCAGATCCCAGTTCACATTTTAAAACAATAACGTTACTTCCTTTATTATTACAGTTAAAGCCTAGAAGGCAGAAAACAGTAAAACTCTCTTGGATTAATCTTGCATTTTTAAATAATTATACGCCTGTAACTATGTGATGCCAAAACATCTGGAAGGAAAAGTGAAAAATAAAAGCAACTGGCATTTTACCCATACGTAGCCAAGCAACAGATGTGGGGGAAAGGCTGCATGAGTATCTCAACTAATTCAGTGAATTTGAGGAGAACCATCTAGTAAGTCGCTAGAATCCTAGATCTAATGAGTGTAATTTCATCTGAGGGTGAGATGCCAAATGGTGTGTCAGCCTGCAGCATTGGAAGAGCATACCTTTCTTGGTTTCCCAATTCTCAGCTTTGTTGCTTTTTTTTTTTTTTCCCCTGAGAATCCGTTTCTCTGATATTTTTGAGATTTACAGATTTGATTGAAGCACTTAAACAACAAAGGCTTCTTTAGAAATTACATTATTGCTACATTATCACATCTGCCTTATTCACAAAGGTTCAAGGGTTATGGTTCTACTGCAAATTTTATTTGAAGAATCTAAAAGAATAATGGTGATGATCTCTTAAGTTTTCCAGCTTACAAATCTTAACAAATACTTCATTAATCCTTTCAGCTTTTTCTCTGAGGTATGTAAAGGGCAAGTAATATGAGACCCATTTTTCAAGTGTAGAAAACAAAATAAAATGACATAGAAAATAATTTTCCCAAGACAGCAGCAAGAGCCTTGCCCAGATTACTCCATGTTGGTCGTTGCTGCGTTGTTTGAAAATATTACAACTATTATCTAAATCACCTGGAAATTAAACTTATATCACGTTCATGTATACATTCATCTTTACATCTGTATATTTATATACGAAGGTGAAAGAGGGAAGGGAATTGTTTCTACACATTAAAAGGAGCCTGGGAGAACTGAGGATGAATTTAATCCACATCTGTCTATATCATGCCACCTATTACCCTCACCAAAAATGGGTCAGTTTCCTATACTCCCCCCACCCCCGGCCAATAGTTGATGCAACAACAGACCATGAGGAACAGAGAATCTCTGGTATACTTCAGTGTTGAGACAAAAAGAAACGTACGGTAACATCATTCTGCCTCGTTTATGGACACGTATAATAGTTATTCTGCATCAGTAACTGGATGGGAACGGTTAGCGATTCATGTAGATGGTAGTAATTAGTCTTACGTTTCCAAAAAGAAGCACATTTGGAGCCATCTGTGGGAGAAAGAGAAGTACTAAAGTTGGGTCACAGTCTGACCTGAGTCTCAATCTCTTTGCTTTCTCAAAGGATTCCACCTCCTTTCACTGCCTTTTCTCATTTGTCTCATCAAAGAAAGGAGTTTCAGGCGGATAGGCTTTTGTCTGAATTCCGTCAGTCACCTACTTGCTGTGTGACTACGGAAAAGTCACCCCATGTTCCTGAGCTTCAGTTTTCTTCTTTGTGAAATGTGAACATGAGTACCAATTTCATAGGTCTATTGTGTGATCTACAGTAGAAAAGACACCTAATTAGCCCCTAGCCCCATGCCTGGCCCATTGAAACTAACAATTAAATTAGATACACTAAATTCATTTGATTATTACGTATTCACCTGTGAATCTCCCAAGGCTATCAGGAACTAGAACGTGATGCTCAATAACAGTAGTTGCTCGAATTACCTATTTATTAAGGTCTACCTTGTTCTACGAGCTATTTGTTTTGTTGTTACAGATAAAAACTTACTTTTATTTCACTTCTGAGGATTCTTAAGAACACACAGAATCCTAATCTATTCTCTAACAGCTTTGAAGCATTTTCCAGCCATGCCTCCCTACTTAGTCAGCAAAAGGATTAAAATCAACTCCCCCTCTCCTGGAAATCCCCAAACCATTTACTCAATGTGAATTTTGCTATTTTCTTGAAGTTAAACCCTACACATAAAAATGGTAAATGATTTTTTACACTGTCAGTTGTGCATTCAGATAACACTTAGTTCTGCCTGCACTCTTCCACAGAATTGAAGTTTGGAAGATAAATATGCAGGAAATCCAGTCAGAGACAATCAGACATCTCCCTTTCAACTCGAGCTCCCAACACTATTATTTTACAGCTAACGTGCACTCTGTCGACTTGGAGTCTGTGTCCTGTGATGCGCAGGGAAAGATCGATGGGAGGCCTTAGGGAGGAGGAGGAAAACATGCAGACACTCTACAGCCCTGAAGCCAGAGAATCCTGGGTGGTATATCTGAGGTTCTGATTGTGAGCTTACGGTTCAGACAGTAATATAATCAGAGCTGCCTGAGTGAATAATGATATCTGTTCTGACCCTGGCTTGAGTGTAAGTGGTCGGAAATCAGAATTGGCCCACAGGCCTAACACATGGAGAAAGGCTGGCCAATTTAGCACACTGCCTAGGAACACAGGTTCTGGAGGGATCCAGACCCAAAGAGATCTTTCCTGTTGTCCTTTTATGTCCTGGGCAAGCTCAAATCCTAGGTGGGCTACTTAGGAGATGTGTAATTGGGGACAAGTTGTTTAACATTCCTGCCCCAGCAGGAAGATGGTGCCCCAATGTTCTCCCTGTCCTAGAAACAGAGCTGCATTTTTGATGGAATACACATCACAGTTGTTCAGCAAGTACTCTCAGGCACTGCTTCTCAAGCTTTAATGTGTCTTTGAGTTACAGGAAGATCTTGTCAAAATGCAGATGTGGATTCTCTAAGTCTGTGGTACAGATTCTGCATTTCTTCTAAGCTTCCAGGTGACATTGATGTTGGTGGTCAGTGGACTAACTTGGAGTAGGAAAGTTCTACCCAGCATATGTTTAACAATTATCACAAAATCCTAACTTGTTTCTTGAAGTTCAGCTTGCATTACACCCACCTGGAGAGTTTACGGAACCCCAGATTGCTGGGCCCCACCCTCAGTCTCTGATTAGTTGGGTGTGAATTGGAGGCTTAGAATTGGCATTTTTCGCAAGACTCCAAGTGATGCTCATACCGCAGGGTAGACCATAAACTAAAAACCACTGACATACACCAGTTCCTCCCCTATGTGAAAACTTCTGTTCATAGTTTTGAGAATCCTAATTGTTTTCAATCTTAGATGATGATCATCAGGAAGTTGGATTGTTGAATTAAATTTTTATCTTAGATAATATATTTGCATGCAATTGTAATTAAAAATATGAAGAGTTCCTGTGTACGCTTTGTACAATGTATTCTAATGGTAACATCTAGAACTGTAGTAGGATATCACCACCAGGAAATTCACATTGATAGTCTACCGAACGTACTCAGATATCCCCAGTTTTACCTGTACTTTGTGCATGTGTGTCTGTAATCCTATGCAGTTTTAACATATGTGTCCGTTCATGTATACACCCCCACAGTCAAGATATAGAAGTTTCATCACGCCTGAAAGGATTTCTTGTACTTTTATAACCAAACCACTTCCCTCCCAAGCCACGCTCCCAAGCCTTAATTCCTGGCAATCAGGAATCTGCTCTCCAGTTCTATAGTTTGGTCAGTTCAAGAAGGTCACGTAAATTGACTCACACAGTACATTACCACGAGGAAGTTTTTAAAGCTTCCAAGTGCCTGGGTCTCACCCTAATATTCTGTATTACAGTAAGAGAGCCATGAATCTGTATTTTCGAAAGCTTTCCGAATGAGCCTAATATTCAGAGTGTCTAATTTCTCTCCCAATAAAGTCGTTATTTTAGGGAGCATTTACAACCGAGAGGCTCATACAGATCTGTTCCCCTTTTCAGTGGCCAAAGACACATATATGACAGAACTGTTCAAGATCGAAGCCTTTTTAAAATTAGAAGTCTTGCTGGAAATGCATTTTGATCATTCCTTAAACCTTCAAGTTGTTATAACTAAATCAGCTGTGGGCACTTGGGTTGCTTCCATAATTTGGCTATTGTAAAGAAGGCTGCCATAAACATAGGGGTGCATAGGTCCCTTTGAAATAGTGTTTTTGTGTTTTTTGTACAAATACCCCAATAGTGCAATTACTGGATTGTAGGGTAGTTGTTTTTTTTTTTTTTTTTGAGGAACCTCCATACACTTTTCCACAGTGGCTGCACCAGTTTGCATTCCCACCAACAGTGCAAGGGGTTCCTTCTTCTCCAACACTTACTGTTTCTTGTGTTGTTAATTTTAGCCATTCTGACAGGTGTGAGGTGGTTTCATGGTGGTTTTGATTTGCATTTTCCTGATGATGAGTGATGGTGAGTACCTCTTCATATGACTGTGGACCATCTGTATGTTTTCTTTGGGGAAAACATCTGTTCCTATCTTCTGCCCATTTTTAAATTGGATCATTTGTGGGGTTTTGGGGTTAAATTATTTAAGTTCAATGTTTTGCATATATTTATATACATACTTACGTTATTTTATTGAATATCATTTGCAACTAACTTCTCCCCTTCCATAGATTGCCTTTTAGTTTTGTTGATTGTTGCCTTTGCTGTGCAGAAGCTTTTAATTTTGATGTATTTTTTGCTTTTGTTTCCCTTCCTTTGTGTGACAGTGTTGCCGTAGTGAATGTCAGAGCCTGTGCGGTCTTTTCTGGGATTTTTTGATTTCAGATCTCAGATTTAGGTCTTTAGAGTTTCTTTCTGTATATGGTGTAAGAAAGCGGTCCAGTTTCATTCTTTTGCATGTTGCTGTCCAGGTTTTTCAATATCATTTGTTGAAGAGACGGTCATTTCCCATTAGCATGTTCTCCTCTTTTTTGTGGAAGATGAATTGACCATGGATTCGTAGGGGTTTTTTTCTGGGCTCTCTATTCTGTTCCATTGATCTCTGTGTCTGTTTCTGTGCCAGTACCTTGGTGTTTTGATTACTACAGCTTTGTAGTACATGTTGAAATGTGGGACTGAGACACTTCCATTTTTTCCCCCCGCAAGATTGCTTTGGCTATTTGGGGTCTTGTGTGGATCCCTACAAACTTTCGGATTATTTGTTCTGGTTCTGTGAAAAATGCTGTGGATTAAATCTGTAGATTGCTTTGGATACTATGGATATTTTAACAATATTGTTGCAATCCATGAACATGGATATCCCTCCATTTGTTTGTGTCATCTTCAATGTTTTCTACTTTTCACAGTTCAGGTCTTTCACTTCCTTGATTAGGTTTCTGGGTATTTTATTTTTTGTGTGATTGTAAATGGGAGTGTTTTAAGGTCTATTTCTTCATAGTGTTTAAGGTCTTTTTCTTAATGGTTAGTATATAGAAAGGCTATGGGCTTCTGTACAAAGACTTTTGCATCCTGGGACCTTAACTGAATTCATTTATTCAGTACTTTTTGGTGCCGCTTTTAGGATTCACTATGTATAGTGTTCTGTCATACGGAAATAATAAGTCTTACTTGTCCCTTACTGACCAAGATGCCCTTTTTGTTGTCTGATTGCCGTGGCTAGGACTTCAAGTACTCTGTTGAATGAAAGTGGTCAGCATGAACATCTTTATCCTGTGCTTGGCCCCAGGGGGAAAAACCTCTGTTTTTCCCCATTAAGGATGATGTTAGCTGTGGATTTTACATATAGGTCTTTTATTATTCCCTCCAAACCTACTTTGCTGAGGGTTGTTATCATGCATGGATGTTTTACTTTGTCCAATGCTTTTTCTGCATCTATAGAAGTGATCATATGGGTTTTATCCTCCTACTGATGTGATGTATCACATTGATTTGCAGATATTGAGCCACTCTTGCATCCTGGGAATAAATCCTACTTGACCATCGTGAAGGATTTTTTTGTTTTTTCGTTTTTTTAATGTTTTGCTGGGTTCACTTTAATAGATGCAAAAATCTTCAACAAAATACTATATTCATCAGAGATATTGGCCTGTAGGGTTTTTCTTAGTGTCTTTATCTGATTTTGGTATCAGGGTAATGCTGGCCTCATAGAATGAATTTGGAAATTTTCCTTCCTTTTATATTTTGTGGAATAATTTGAGAATAGGTATTAACTCTTCCTTAAATGTTTAGTAGTAATCACCTGGGAAGCCATCTGGTCCTGGACTTTGTTTGGAGTTTTTGATTAATGATTCAATTTTCTGTTAGCTCCTGCTTCAGTTTGGGGAGTTTGTATGTTTCTAGGAATGTGTAGGTTTCTTTTAGGTTGTCTGGTTTGTGGGTATAAACTTTTCATAATATTTTCTTATAATCCTTTGTACTTCTGGGGTGTTGGTTGGTGCTTCTCTCTCATATCTGATTGTGTTGGAGTCCTCTTTTTAATGAGTCTGGCTGAAAAGATCAGTAAAATTTATCAACTTTTAAAGAATCAGCTCCTGGTTTCATTAAGCTCTTGTATTGTTTGGATTCTATTTTATTTCTGCTGTAAACTTCCCTCCTAAAATACCTGTTGCTGCATCCTGAAAGTTTTGAATCATTATCCGTTTTCACTTATTTTTGATTTTCTCTTTGATTTCTTGGTTGATTCATTCATTGTTTAGTAGCATGTTATTTAACTTCCATGTATTTGTGCATTTCCAGATTTTGTGGTTAATTTCTAGTTTAATAGTGTTGTGATTTGAAAAGTGGTAGGACTTGGAGGCTTGCTGCCTACTAGGTGATGTCTTCTGTAAGAATGTTGCAGGTGCACTTTGAAAGAATGTGTATTTTGCTGTGAGGATGCAAAGTTCTGAATATATGTCAGATCCATCAGGTCCAATGTATCATTCAAAGTCCCTGTTTCCTTGTTGATTTTCTGCTTGTATAATCTGTCCATTAAAGCGGGGTGTGAGATGAAAGTTCCCTACTATTGCTTTACTACTGATTACTTTATTAGCTGCTTTATATATTTGGGTGCTCCCATATTGGTTGCATAAATATTCACAATTGTCTTAAAGCATTGATTTTTTACTTAGGAAAATAAGCATGGGTAAATTACAAATTTGCAATGTATGACTTTAGAAAGTTGCCTTTTCTCCATTCCTTTCTCCTCTTAAACCTTAGTAATGTGAGTTGTCTTTACCATTTTTGAAATTAATACTAACCCACGTTTATTAAATATATGCAGTACTTTTATAGTATTATGTTCCCTCAGGTAATTCTGTTCACATTACTTAAAAAAAAAAGATGTCTATTTTAGTTGTAGTAGGTAATATTGATTATTGGCCATATTGGTAAGAAGTTTTAAATTCAGAAGGGGAAGTGTTAACATTCTAAGTCATCCCCAAACTTAGTAGCTTTAAACATTAGCAAGCAAATTTCCTCACAAATCTAAGTTGCACAAGGCAAAATGAGGAAAGCTCATTTCTGATCTGCAGTGTCAGCAGAGATTGTGGCTTGGCTGGAAGATCCACCTGGCTCCCTCAAAGTGATGTTTATTTTGGTTTATCTCAATGTAGGTGTTTTCAGGGTAGTTTGATGTGTGGAATCCACTGTGTGTCGATTCCAAGAGTAACCATCCCTAGAGTGATGGAGAGTGTAATCTACCAGTCTTTTTTTTTTTAATGCCTGCACACCTCTAATACAAAACTTTATTGCTTAACCATAAACAAAGCCCAGATGCAGAGGAAGACACTCTTAAGTTGATGCCATGTTTTAAAAGTACCACAAACTACCTTTGATCAGAAATTATTTCTTATTAAACGGTGTCCGCTTCAGGCTTAAAAACAGGTATACTTTTGTGAGTCAAATTCCTAGAGTAGTTCTCTGTTGGCAAACCTGAAAGATAAAGGATAGGTTCCATATATCTACCACATAATGGTTTAACATAGGATAATCCCTACAGATACCATTATTCAGATGTAAGTTACATAGCAAATACTAGTTAACAGCAATTCTTCAATTCACTTGGACATAGATCACAGGTTTACTTATCTAGTACTTGTCTTAAGGACTGATTTTTCTAGACTCTGGGCCCCTCTGAATCATTCCTTTGCTTAAATTGTTTTTGTTTGTAGCTAAGATTTCTTCCCCATCTCCTTCCTGCCTATAAATGTTTCAGACTCTAGTAGCCGCTTTTCACCTTTTACTGTCTTTTAGTCAAAGCCAACACATTTCTTTTAAAGAATCTGTCAATTTCTTTCAAATCCCTTTATAATCCACTTGATTAGACAATAGTTACACTCCAAAATCTCTTTAGGATGAGCCCCTACTGACCGCGGCAACCTAGGTAGACTGCTGTGGTCAATGCTCTTAATAGTCTTAAGAGAGAGAATCTGTAATACATGCTTTCTGAAAGTTCCCATGAAGTACTTCAGATACTTGAGATATTAACAACAGAGGATCATATTGTCCCAGTCTGTATTTTATCTGTGGAGTGAGACACCTCAATTTAAAAATTACTTTCCTCTGGAGAAGGTACAAATGAAAAACAGCTTTGTTTTCAAATCCAACCAACCTGGAGGAAAAGTTGCTTATTTAGCTAATTTCTCTGCATTTTATTTAGGCAGAGAAGCCATGTGACCAAAAAAAAAAAACCTGCCTCTACCTGGATTCTGTTCATTAGATCAAAGATAGTAAGTACATACCCTTTTTTCTACATGACCTCCAGGTGCAGTGCCATAGTGAAAAATCTAGCCATTGCCTACATGGGCTTTTTTCTGACTTCCAATTTTACTGGAAGACCTCACCACCAGCCGCCTCACATTCTTCAGTCGTTAAACACTCTCCCTAGGCCCCTTTAGGCTTTCACTCATGGTCTTATGTTTGCCACTTCATTCCCAGACCAATGCCACATGTTTTAAGCTTTTATGACCGTAGCGCCTTAAAATCTATCTACCTTAATGTAAAAAAAAAAAAAAAAAAATCCCTACATAATATAATGGCCTAAAACAACCAATCTTTATAATTCAGCAAGGCTTATCAGGGTCAGCTCATCTCCACAGAATGTCATACTAGCTGGGATAGCTTGAACATAGCTGACCATCAGTTCCAAAATGGCTCACTCACCTGGCTGGCCAGTTGTTAGTTGTCCTCTGCTGCCTTTCCAAGAGGCAGTTTGGGCTTCTTCATTGCCTGAAGTTTATGTTCCATCAGTGAGTATCCCAAAAGAGAAAAAGCTGGCAGCTTTCACTTCTAAGAAAGACTTGACTCTAGAAATTGGCACAGTGTCACTTTTTTCATGTACTATTGATGAGTAGATTATATCTTCAAGGGAAGGGAACACAGACCCCACCTTGCAATGGGAGGCATGTCAAAGAATTTTAGGGCCATGTTTCCAAATCACATTGACTTGGACCGCACAAAAACCTTGCGTTGTAAAAGACAAAGTAGTCACAGTAGATTTTAAATTGTAAAGTATTAATATGAAATGCTATTTAATACTTAGAGTTGAAGTCCAAAAACTTGAGCATTCTAAAAGCTAAGCATTTACCTAGTTTTCATGTTCCTTCATAAACGCCTTAGATTCTTGTCCTTTTACCTTTGGATAAAGTAAGTGATTTAGGTTGGCCTCTGCAATATAACCAGTGATGTGACCTTGGGATTGTTCTATATCCACTGCAGCTCCTTTTATTTTGCTGTAGATGAAGAATATTAGTAACATCGGTTCTACTTAAATCGGAGGGAACAGTGGCAGGCAGTAGAGACAATGTATTGGAAATGAAAAAATAGAATGTGGACACTAATGCAGGGTCTGTGTTTCCTTATAGCAATGCTATTTTAATGTACAGCTCTAGGCTCTTACTAGACACTCAACATAGTCAAGTGCAGGGGTCTGCAGGGGCCCAATGACTGGATGTGTGGTTAAGTGAAGATTTTTTTTCAGGAAAAGATGAATTTAGGCAGATAGCAAGCTAGAACTATGTTTGTCTGACTTCCAAGAACCTAAGAATCCCCAGCCCAGAGATTCTTACTCACTGCTACATTTTTGGATTCAATTTTATAAGCTTTCTATAAACACCTTAAATAATTTCAATATGAATGACTTACACAGCACACTTTGGGAAATATGGTAGAGGGGGAAAAATGAAGACAAACTAGAACATCAGAAAGAACAGGTTCTCCATTTAACTGATATAGCACATTATGTTAAATATGACACTACCATGTAATTGCTATCTTTAGAGGAGAATTTTAATCTTATTACATATGTAATGCACAATTGCAGTAATTTGGCATTGGATAATTATACATTACAGTGTGTGTGTTGCTGTTGCCTCCTAAAGTCTAGAAAGGAAATTATTCTCATAGTGATACTTGGGGATTTCTTTTCTAATAATTTTTGGTGCACTGTTTTACCTCGGAGGTTCTTGAAAAGGTTTTTAGTGGTTATGGAAAGTAAGTCTGCAGAGAGAAGGGACAAGAGATGGCAATAGAAAATCTTCTGGGTTATTGGGAAGAGAGGAGAGGCAACTGAGAAAATCTTACAGATTTTGTGGACTTAAATGTACACAATGGTCCTTGTTTTGAGAGTGTGTACGTAACCTGACTTAAAAACCTCTTCCCAAAAATAAAATTGATAATAGAAGTGAGAGAAAAATCATTAAAATCCATATGATTTTGTTCAGAAGCACAAACAAGCACTGTTAACGTCTCCTATTTCTAGTTTTTTTTCTTTCCTAAAATTTTAACTCTTCCTACATGCCATTTATATTGCCCCCGGCCTATTCCATAAAAAAATCTTTCAATACATCTTATTAATGTCTATATGATATTACTTTGTAGGATTACAAAATATGTAAATTCTTATTAAATAGAAGTTAGATATTATCTGATTGAAATGCTTACCTAGAGTGACAAAAATATGGCACTACCATGAATACACACAGAAATAATCAGAATCACATGGATCAATCACTTTAATAGTGACTCTTAAGAATTCTAAGACCAGTACTCACCGAATGATAGAGTTTGCACTCTACACTGGGCTTGAACTTATCTGGAAACCACATCCTAACTCTTAGGAACTGAGCCCAACATGAAACTTTACTTCTGAGGAGGGTTGTTTGCTTGTATCTCATCTTGACTTGAGCTTCTGAATTACTGTATGTTACCTTAAGAAAATAGTCTGCTCCTGGTAAAATTCTTCCTTTGACTCATCTGTCTGATCATTCAACTCTTTACCCCTCTGCTTACTACATTTTAATTTAATATTGATTTAATAAACACTTATTGACTAACCATTATATACAAAACACAGGGCCATATTTTGTGGGAGGTGTGGAAGAAATTAGAAACAACTTTAAGAAACCAAATACTAGTTAAGGAATGCAAAGGAAATTGATATTTGGAGAGAACTAAGTTTGAGGCCATACACCAAGATCCAGAAATGTGAAAAATAAAGGCAGGGTTCCCAACAAGTCCTAGCTGTAGTTTCTACATCTTAAATACATGTAAACACATAAAGACATGAAAGCCCCTTTTTATCATTAGTACATTTTTTACTTACCTTCTAAACTCTTTCTGATACTGTATATTTGCATCTTATTGCTCACTTTGGGCTCCATGAGCTGAATCTGATCTTGATTTCAAGATCAAAAATAGGTTTATTTTATAAAACATATGAACATACCCTGTAAAGGCCTCTTTATGAATAAAACAGTTTAAAGGAGGAAGTATCAATAATATGTAGCTACGATTTAAATACTATAATTTTTCCTCTACCCCAAAACTACACTGATGCCTTGTTGCTCATCACATGTCCATCAGACACAGGACGCAGAGTCCTACCTCACCCCCTTGCCGCATGACTTTTTCTTCCCTTGAATATTCTGTCATGTCTCTTGATTTCCAAGCAGTACGTTCCTTTCAAGGTTTAGATCAAGTATTACCTCCTTTTGGAAGCTATAGATGTTGCTGCAACAGAGAAGACAGTAATGATCTCATTTACAAATATACTAATTTGTGTATGTGCCTTCCACATCCAATCATCAAGGGCAGAGACTATATCTTACACTTCTCTGTCATCCTCATAGCATACCAAGTATCACATTATAAATGACTGGCAAGTATTTATTGAAAATACTTGTTGGACGCAATGACAAGGTTTTACCCACCTACGTAAAATACACTAAATACCATTCAGAATGAGAAAAATCAAGCTATCAAGATGGGGAAGGGGCATAGGCTTCTTATTTCTGAGATGGGGACAGAGGAGAAGAAAGGTTTCCTTAAGCATATAAAATATCCTCCAAGAACACAGCAGTTGGTTGTATACTTGAAAGTTAATAACCCCTGCCTCATTCTTTGTTAAAACCTAGAGTACTTTTGCCTTACGTTATCTCAGTTCAGTAATCAGGAAAAGGATGTTGCTTAATTCTCCTTGCAGTCTGTCACTATTAGGTGCAACTCTATTACTACCCCTAAGAAAATAATTTTGTTTGCTAACCATCCAGAAATTTGTGATTGAATACTTGCAGATATGAGCTATTCTCTCCCTTTAGAATCATTGCAATAATCGTTTCCTCTGCCTGGAATATGCATCCTCTTGCTATTGTCATGATTAACTTCAAGTCTTTGCTCTACTAAGCCCTACCCTTACCCCTACCAATACCACCTTTTGCTTTCCCTACTAGATGTGTTTTATCAGCATTTTATCCTTTCTCACCTACCATACGATTTCCTCATCATGTCTATTATTCACGAATTCCTTTCCATGAGGAGGTCTTCTGCTGTAAATTAGTAACTCCCCAATAGCAAGGAAGTATCTGATAATATTAAGCCTTTAGTAAATAATGAAGGAATAAACTAAGAATATATAAACCAAGACTAGATTATTAACATTTGTACTTAACTGCTGGTATAATAATAAACTTAGTTTTCGTGGGCATCTTCAAATATTTGGACTTCAAAGTTTACCACAACTTGGTGTAATTTCATAAATTGTAGTGTGACTCAAGCACAGAAAAAATGTCACGTGCTACATACAAACAATGAACATATTAAGGGAGCCTGGCCCTGCATTCATGTCACTATGCTCCCTATAAATCAACTTCTGACTCTTCTTCTTGTGTTAAATGCCCTGTGCCCATTTGGACCTTTTTAGTAAAAGATGACTCAAAAACCATTGGCTTAAAGGAAGCTGGATAATCTTTCATGTCTCAGACCTGTTTATCAGAGAGAAGGTAGGGTATGTGTGGCAAATTATTCTGCCCCAGGTAATAGAGGAAAATCCTTTCTGCTAGTATATGGCTTTATAACTCCATTTCTAATGGTGTCAATATCAAGCTAACATTTAAAGCAAACTATTGCCTAACTGAAAGAGATAAGTACTTTGGAATGAAGCGTACATGAATTTTAAGCCCTGCATTTTATCAGTATTTAACTGCTTGAGATAGTTTCTCAATACCTTTGTGTTGCCATCTGTGTAATGGATACTGACAGTGAGTAATAAACGCTAACTGAACATCATCATAAGCTTCCTTTCTTCCCTTCCCTATCTTAGCCTTCATTTTCCATGTTAATTTGAAACTATACTCATTGTTATTCATATGATGAAATGATTTGTCTAACTGCCTTAATACATGAGGCAATTAATTTTTAGTGTTGAGCAAATTCCCACAATTTCCTGAGAAGAAATTATAATGAAGGTTTATGTGCAAGAAATGAAAAGTTACAGTATCTTTTTATTCTCCCATAGTTATAAAAAAATCACCTGAGTAGGCATTATTTGAAATTGCAAAATTCTGAATTGCTCTTACGGACTTAATTAGAAATAAATATGGATGTTGGGATGAGAAGCTACACCGTGGAACACATTAGTAGTTTTTTTGTCCCCCGCCCCCGCTGGTTCAGAATTCTGAAAGCAACATTCTCACCACTCTAAAGATTTAGCAGGGGAAAGTCCCAAAAAAAAAGTATAGTAAATCAGAGGTAATGTGTAGTGCTGTGAATGCATGACCTGTAATTTCAATGTAGGAGCAAGATGAGATGTAAAATTATTGTAACAATTCTGAAGTTAGTTCGAGTCAAATCGAGATATACCCTTATTCTGACTCATGTTTTCCCACATAAATTCAGTGAACAGCAATGTTTGCTTTAATTTAGAACAGATATTAAAATCTACCTCCACATCTCCCATTGGGTACTCCCCCTTCCTCTACCACGGCCCTATCCTGTGACTGCGTACTTGCTAGTGGTCAGAAACACACTACTTTGGGAGACTTTTCTCCTGAGTAGCTGAGAAAGCACTTTCCTACAAGGAGCCAAAATGTGCCTGCAGGTATAAACAAGTCTTATTCGCTCCCCTTTTTCCTAGTAAAATGGGAAGTTCCTTCAAAAAAAAAAAAAAAAAAAGGTTTATATGACCTGCTTTCAGTTCCCTGGAATAAAGGCTATGGAGAAAGCTGTGGAATTAGGCACTGAAGTGCCAGGACCGTAGCGGAATTTGAATGAGGAACAAGGTAACTTGGAAGTCTGGAGCAGAATACTTCTAAAATCCTGAAGTTTGCTCGGTATTTTCCAGTATGATTTCATCCAATCCTTCCAATAACTTCCTCAAATAGATATTATCCTGACTTTGGGGACACTTACCAGGTACGGTTCTCTAGGCTAGATGCAACAGTGAACAAAAAGTACCTAAAATTCCTACCCAGAGGGAATAACCAGAGTTTGCCAAACATCTTCTTCCTAGTTGGCTTAAAGTGTAAATTACCAACAACAGAAGGGAGAGGAGGACAGATTCTTTCTTCCTCGAGAGAGACCTTCACACAGAATGTATTGATATGGCAGGCATGAATACAGTCTTCCCAACCCTTACCAGATCCATGGACAGACAGGAAGTTTCTTAAGGGATTTTTCTCACCATAGTTCTGAAGTCTTTTGCCTTTTTTTTTTTTTTTTTTAAATAAAAGCTTCTGAGCTCTAAACAGACCCACTGAGTCAAATTTTACCATAATTTCTGATATGCATGAAAATTCAAGAAAAACTTCTTACTTCAAATGAAGTGATTTTACTATTTTACCCTGAGTTGTAGGTATCAGTTTGAATAGCTAGAATTCAATAAACTCATTTGTTCCCTCCATAGAAATGCAATTAGAAAGATGACATATTTCCCTCAAAATAGGCTACACCCTAGTCATAGCATCAGGTGGCACAAGTACTTGGGATATCTTTGACCTTTGGAAGCCCTTACTGTGATCATCACTATACTCTCTGCAAGAGTAGATAGTTTTCTAGCAATCATTAAAAAAAGAGCCCGTCTCATTTCATTTTGGGCATGAATTCTAGGGTTCCAATTGTTAATTTGTAGGAAAAGAAAGATAATCGATTAAGAAAATAAAGAAGGTCAACCTTTATATAACTTGATACTACAATCCTCTATTATGTTTGTAAGCATAGGGGAAAGAAGTTGGATGGTGAAAGGACACTTAGAAGCCCTACACACTTTCTCATTTTTCTCTCTTGGGATTTATGTTTGTTCTTAAATTTCACCTCTAGCTGAGAGCACACCTCCTTTTACGTATGCATAGAATGTGTTTTCTGTTTGATATTTCCAGTGCCTAGAAGAGTACCTCATACCAACGAGGTACTCAGTCAATGTTTGTTGAATGAGTTAAAGTTGAAGAGTTACTTTCAAAATTTACAATGACCATTTTAAATGCTTGAGAATAAGGATTTTTTAACTTTCTCTGTAAGTTTGTGTAAAAATGAGAGTAAGTGTGCATTAAACCCATCATCATTTTAAGATGATGGTTATGATCTATGCCTGCCACATTAGAATGCTATCAGTGGAGTAGGGATTGGGTTTTGAAGTCAAATTTCACTATCAGATGGCACTAGGTAAGGTTTATGTGAAGAATACACAGAGCTTAAACTTCAAGTGTACACTTTTTTCTAACATACTGGACTTGAAAATGCACAAAAGTGGTCTTCTCTACTGATTGATTCAAGTTCTTTGATGGAGAAAAATGTGTGGTTATAACCCCCCCTCCAAAAAAAATTATAGACATCCTGAGCTGCATAATGCCATTCTATACAGGTGTCCTACACCGCCTCTGCCAATACAATTATAAAAATCACAATGCTTATTTTAGATTTGCATATTTCATATCATTTTAAGTTTTAATAAAGTAATACCTAGTATTCGGTGTGTAGTTATTTTTCTGATACACCTCGATAGATGGTTTTGTGGAATCAAACACAGTTGGACAAAGTAATGATGTGTACATACATGTATATCTACATTTATATTCATATACTCAAGCCATTTAATGTTAACATCTGGGAATAAATCAGCATCATTCATATTATCATTTACATGACACTGGTGGCAGGTTGTACTGCAATCATTTCAACCACCTCTGCTACTTATTTTGAATTATATATTTGTTTAACTCAGTATCCTATGTACTGTATCTTAGTCCACTGTTGGAGTATATGCAGAATTTACTGGGGCCAAAGCATAGATTGAGCAAAGGCAGTCTTTAGATCAGTCTGGGTTTATAGTCAAAATATTCATTCAAGATAACACCATCTGCATTACACTATATGAACTCTGCCAAGTCACTAACTCACAGAAGATTAGGGTAATTTTATAGTACTACTTTGCCCATTGTTCATCAACTACAGCATGACTTAGTTTTTAGGGGGATATAATGGATCTAGCATAGCTCTCTGTGCTGAGGGAAAAACACTTATTTTTCTTGTGCCTATGATAGTAACTTATGTCTAACTTTCCCAGTGGTAAGAACTATAGATACCAGAGAATAAACAACTTGAGATGACACCTAAATTTATCTCTACTTATTCCCTTCAGGGCTTTAACTGATTCAACTCACAGGGCATAGAAACCAAGCAGAAATCAGTGACCTGGAGTTAATGGTGGTTTCATAGGATTGTGGAGATAAAAGAGTTCA